CTTTCAATCTATTGACCTTAAAGGAAAGATCAGAGGTCAAATGTAACAATATTTTATGTCTTTATATCGCACTTGCTATACATTGACCATACATACCAGACTACATAAGAATATTAGTTTTTAAGTTATAAGCTTATTCTGTCCATTTTTCCATGAATAAAACATTAATGTAAGGTCACACAGACAGAGTGGGAACGTATTTGGTTCTTTTAAATATCTTCTTAGAACATAAAAAACTGGAATGTGTGTAAAAATTGGATTATAGTTCTGCTTTTGCAGTATTTTTATGCTGCCAAAGTATAAATATCTGAGAACAAATGGGATTCAGTGTGTGCCCAATGAGAAAAAATAAAGCAGGTTTTTATTTCATCAACCTATGCCAATTATTGTGTCTCATAAGCTAAAGACAGAAAGCATTTTAATGAAGGACAAACAGCAGGTTTATTTATCTTCAAAACACAAAAGCATAAAAAAAAAAAAATTTCAGTGGTTTCATATTGAAATTAACTCATGGTCACATGTTTAAACAACACTTCAGTTTTGGTTTCCTTTCCTTCAGAATTCAGAACATTTGTCCATGCCTTATGTATTGATCACTTTAATAATAGTAATATCACTTTGTAACTTAGTAACAAATGCTGTATCACACATACACTTTCCCAAAGGGACCATTGTATGGAGGTCAGAGACATCCAAGCGCTGCATGTCAGGAATTATTATTATTTTCACCATCATCATCACCATCATCATCATCTCGGAAAGAAGGGAGGCAACGGCTAAGTGAAAAACATAGTTGTAATTCTCTCGGAAGGGAAGGTTTTAAGGATGAGCTGAACTGAAGGTTCAGGCTCACATGATGTGTTGTGTTTTTGTCTGTGTATGTGGATAAAAGAGGTCAGAGCGGCGGCCCATCTTTAGAGACCACTTTGGCGTTTGACTAGAGATTTCACCATGTTGCAATATGTAATTGAACCCACGTCAAAAAGCTGCTAAGCAGGTGTTTGCAGTTTATTTTAAAACTCTCATGACAGATGTTTTTGTGATTGAGCCCGAGTGACCCAATCCTCTTACGTACATCCATGGCCAAAAACACAAATGAAAATAAAACACACGAGTAATCAATCATTAAAAACGTATGAACATCCATTCCTAAATACAGAAAAGTCCATGGAAGCACCAAAGTTCATCTCCTCTCTTTAGATCCTCAAAGAAAGACAAATTCCTCCAGACCTTCTCTTTGCTTCATGAACACTCGAAGCAAACACTCATTTAATTTTTCCACCAAACAAACTTAGATCATGCCCCTTATATAACATTTGGTTTTAAAATATTTTTTTTCTTCAAACGGAACAAAAAAACAAACAAACACTTTTTTGACAAATTAAAAGCTCACTATAAGAATCTTTCTATTAAACAGTGAAAGCGTTTTCCTCTGCCATCCTCACCTCGAAATGTCTCAATCTGGAAAGTTATAAACCGTTCTTTGTTGAAAGTCCGCCACTAACATGAGATCTTGTTTTTCTCTAATCAGTGCCTCTAAAGTATGACGGGTGATCTATGCAGAGAAGAAACACCACAAAAGTGAGCTCTCAGCAGGAATAGAGACCAAAGAAACTAAAACCTAAAATTAACACTTTAACCTGTTGCCAACTTGATGACTTCTTTTTATTTCAATTTGACAAACTCTGCAGTGGCTCCGTAATTAGAAACACAAAGTCCAGCATGGAGCGGCTGAGTGAATGTGGTCTGGACTCTGGAGGAGAGTCACTAAAGCTGCTAACATGGTGTTTTTCTCCAGGACAGGCCTCGGTGTGAAAGTCTTCCTGCACTGAGGGCAGCTGTGGATTCCCTTCCTGTCCTCTTCATCCCAGAAACTTTTAATACAGTTCCTGCAGTAGCTGTGTCCACAGGCTGTAGTCACCGGATCCTTCAGTAGATCCAAACAGATGGAACAGTTTAATTCTTTTCTATACAATCAGAGCAGATTTATAAATGTTGAATTCAGTTTTTGTGTGATAAATTTTCAGTTACCAGTGTTTCACTTTAGTAAAATTACCATGAGATCGCTTTCTACTTGTTAGAGATGCTGTTTTCTGCACTTTTTCCCTTTTAAGGCATAAACATTTTATCCCTTGTGGCCCATTTGGTGCTTTACTACATGTGAACGCTCTTAAGGAGTGGTATTAGATTGATGCACCTCCTTAGCAGATTTGCTTTAGAGGAATTTGCAGCCAGCTATTTTACCCTTTAATCTTTATTTATCTTCTAATATATCTCCTGTTCTTGATTGCATAGCCCACA